CGTGGGGGGGGGGCGGGGAGGAGAGACAAGGGGCCGGCACCGGCTTCTCTCACCTTCTGTTCCCCCGATCCGGGCCGCACCGGCCCCCCGCAGGACCGAGGGCCCGCACGTTCCGCCGCGCCCACCTGGATGATGTCGGAAGCGGCGGCGGAGGCCCCGACGGGCGGCGGAGGCGGGAAAGCCGCCAGCCAGGCCCCGGACGCCTCAGGCTGGCTGGCTGAGCCCAGCGTCGGTCTTCTCCGGCGGCGGCGCTAACAGCCTCCGCTGGAGGTCCGCGCTAGAAAGCGTTCCCCCCCGCCCCGCCTCCTGGTCCGTGCAGACGCACTTCCGGATGGAAACCACGTGTCCCCCGAGAGGAAAGTTCCGCTGTGGCTATACACTGGTTTAGAAGATCTTCTCTCTCCTGGAGCCTGGAAGTTCTTCCCGAGATAAGAAAGAGCCTAGGGCGGGGAGCCGGTGAGAGGTTAAGATCTGAGGGTTGTGGTTTGGAGGGAGCCTGAGCAGGAAAGTTCAAGAGACTAAAAAAAAAAAAAAAACGCCAGAAGTGGAGCTGTGACTTCAGTGGTGGAGAGTCTTGGGCAAAAGAAGCCCAGACAGTGCCCAGGTCCTGAGTTCAAGTCTCAGTACAGGCACACACACACACACACACATCATGAAAAGGTCCTCTCTCTTCACAATTACTTCTGGGTGGTAAATTGTAAGATTAGAAGATATAGGAAGCCAGGCACTGGTGGCTCACGCCTGTCATCCTAGCTACTCAGGAGGCTGAGATCTGAGGATCATGGTTCAAAGCCAGCCCTGGCAGGAAACTCCATGAGATGCTTATCTCCAATAAACGACCAGAAAACCAGAAATGGTGCTGTGGCTCAAGTGGTAGAGCGCTTGCCTTGAGCTGCCAAGATCTGAGGGACAGCGCCCAGGCCCAGAGTTCAAGCCCCACGACCGACCAAAAAAAAAAAGAAGATATAGGAGGGGCTATCTAAATCTGTCTTCTCCTTTAACATAATATAAAAAAAACTTGGAAATTTTTATAAGCAGATGGATACAGAATGAAAGGCATGGGATGGGATGTAGCTCAGTGGCAGTATTGGCTACCAAGTGCAATGTCCTGGGTTCAATCCCCAGAAGAAAAGAGAAAGAAAGAAAGGAAGGAAGGAAGGAAGGGGAGGGACGGAAGGAGGGAAGAGGAGAGAAAGAAAAGAAAAAGGTGCTGTGAATGTGGCTCAGTGGTAGAGTGCTTGTCTAGCATGCATGAAGCCCTAGGTTTGATTCCTCAGTACCACATACACAGAAAAAGCCAGAAATGGCGCTGTTGCTCAAGTGATAGAGTGCTAGCTCTGAGTAAAAGAAGCTCAGGGACAGAGCCCAGGCTCCTTGAGTTCAATCCCCAGCACTGGACAAAAAAAAGAAAAGAAAAGAAAGAAAGAAAGGTTTGTTGGCAAAAGGAAGACCTGGGTTTGGGATAGGTCCCACCCATCTTATCAACTCCAAGCCACTTCCTAAGGTTTAAGAGTTGCTCAACTGACAGGATCACATGTATATTCACCAATCTCAGAAGTTGTAAAAGCCACAGATAGGAACTGCATATTTTAGGAAAATTGAAGTGCTGGCCAGCCTAAATATGTAAGACCCTATCCCCCAAATAACTAAAGCACAAGTGTCTATGTATGGTTCAAGTAATAAGATTCTAGGCCCTAAATTAAACTATCAGTAACACAGTCTCTCTCTCTCTCTCCCCCACACACACACAGAAAATCAGCTAGCTATTCGATAGGCTGAGATCTGAGGATTGTGGTTTGAAGCCAGACTTGGCAGGAAAGTCCATCAGATT